AGTTGTTAAATACTCTCACCATTAAAAATGTACACATTGTTTCCTGCCTGAATTTGTCTAGCTTCAACTTCCAGCCATTGGATCATGTTAGACCTTTCTCTGCTAGTTTGAAGAGCCCATTATTAAATATTTGTTCCCCAGGTACTTACAGAATGAAATCAAGTCACCCCTTGGCCTTCTCTTTGTTAAGCTCAATAAATTGAGTTCCATGAGTCTATCACGATAAGGCAGGTTTTCTAATCTTTGAATCAATCTTGTGGCTCTTCTCGGAACCCTCTTCTATTTATCAATATCCTTCTTGAATTATGGGCACCAGAACTGGACACAATATTCCAGCAGTGGTCACACCAGTGCCAAATTCAGAGGTAAAATTATCTCTCTGCGCCTACTTGGGATTCCCCTGTTTACGTGTCCCAAGATCACATTAGCTCTTTCGGCCACAGCGTCCCTCTGGGAGCTCATGTTCAGCTAATTATCCACTATAATCCCCAATTCTTTGTCAGAATCACTACTTCCTAAAATAGAATCCCCCATCCTGTAGTATGGTCTGCATTCTTTATTCCCAGATGTAGACATTTACACTGAGCCATATTAAAATACATATTGTTGCTGGCACCAGTTTGCCAAGCACTCCAGATCACTTTGTATCAGTGACCTGTCCTCCTCATTGTTTACCACTTCCCCAATTTTTGTAACATCTGCAAACTTTATCAATGATGATTTTATGTTTTCTTCCTGCTCATTGATAAAAATGTTAAATAACACAGGTCCAAGAACTGATCCCTGAGGGACCCCACTAGAAAGATACCTGCTCGATGATTCCCGATTTTACAATTACATTTTGAGACCTATCAGTTAGCCAGTTTTTAATCCATTTAGTGTGTGCCACATTAATTTTATATAATTTTTAATCAAAACAAACATGCACTACCAAGTCTAAGTCTATTATGTGAATACTGTTACCTTTATCAGCCAAACCTATAATCTCATAAAAAATAATATCAAGTTTAGTTTGATAGGATCTATTTTCCATACACCCATGTTGTTTTGCATTAATTATATTGCCTTTAATTCTTTATTAATGGAGTCCCATATCAGTCATTGCATTATCTTGTCCAGGATCAATGTCAGGCTGATGGGGCTATAATTACATGGATTGTGCCATTTATCTTTTTTAAAAATTGGTACAACACTGGCTTTCTGTCAAACACAAGAGCTACACACACACAGATGAAGTGAATTCATTTTAAAATTGAGTGAGTTCTTGTTGGAAACATTGGCCTAAGGTGATCATTTCTCCAAGATTGTCTCCACCTGGATTTTCTGTTTCAATTACAGTTCAAACCTTGACACAGAAGATGACGGAAGTGTGAAATGTGGCCTACCTATAAGAGAAATTTTAACATGTTTAAGGCATACAGACTAAAGAACCATTGTCCTGATGAAAGTCATAATAAAGTCATGCTAAAGAGGAGACAGTGCACGGTGGGGAACTATAAATGGAGATTTGCACTTCTGTTGATGTATTTTAATCTCCGTGTTGTTTTGAGTAGATGTGACTATTGGAAGATTCTGGAAAAATAGCCAAAACACTGTATTGTTTATTACTAGCCAGATTCCAGTAGCACCTGGAGGCCCCAAATGAGATAGAGATTCCGTTGTACTAGACATTGTACATACACATAACAGTCCCTGCCCCAAACAGCTGACAAGCTAAATAGAGAAGACAGAGAAAAGAAGAATTTTCACCCCCACTTTGCAAAGCTGGAGCTGAGGCAGTGAGAGACCAAGTAACTTGCTCAAGAATGCACAGGAAGTCTTTGGCTGATGTGGGAATTAAACCTGGGTCTCAGGTCCTTGACTTAATCAGAAGACAACCTTTCCTCTCAGCCTTGAGTTATTTTTCATGGACTTATATTTGGAGGAAGGTGGCTTCTAGACAGTTTTGTTTTGCTGGCATTGTAGTGCTTGCCTTTTCCTTTACTCTTGGCTCATGGGTATGAGTGTAACTGTTATGTAGCCTACAGAATCTTTAGACCTTCGTGTTGACAACCTACCTTAGATAGTACTGGATTGTGGGCTTCACTTGCTTGTCTGACATCTGGAGCAAGGAAGATTCCATCCCCTCTGGTACCAGGGCAGGACTGGACTCCCTTCCAGCCTCCCAACTTCAGAAAGACCAGCAGGGGATATATTGAGAAAGGAGCCATAGTTTTGCCTGCCACGATAGCAATCACCATCCACTGTGTCTGTCCATAATTTTGACATTTTTCCAGTTTCCACTCTTTTATCTTCTCCTGCCTGTCTCTTTGTCTGCCTATGTTTAGCTGGTGAAACTAAGCTGTGCATGAGCTGAAAGTGTTTTGATCACAACTTAGTGAGTATCGTTATCATTTAACAAAAGGGCTAAAAGAAAAGCTGACTCAGATCCTCAAAATCTTCATGCCGTGTTTAATTCTATAGAAAGACTTACATCGCGTGTTTCCTGACGGAGGAGCTAAGCCTCATAGGACGAGTGAGATCCTGAGGCCATGTCTACACTACGAAATTAGGTCAAATTTATAGAAGTCGGTTTTGTAGAAAGCGTTTTTATACAGTCGATTGTGTGTGTCCCCACACAAATGCTCTAAGTGCATTTAGTCGGCGGAGTGCATCCACAGTGCATCCACAGTGCACAGTGCATCCACAGTACCGAGGCAACCATCGACTTCCAGAGCGTTGCACTGTGGGTAGCTATCCCACAGTTCCCGCAGTCTCTGCCACCCATTTGAATTCTGGGTAGGAATCCCAATGCCTGATGGGGCAAAAACATTGTCGCGGGTGGTTCTGGGTACATATTGTCAGGCCCCCCCCTTCCCTCCCTCCCTCCTTGAAAGCAACGGCAGACAATCATTTTGCACCTTTTTTCCTGAGTTACCCATGCAGATGCCATATGACGGCAAGCATGGAGCCCGCTCAGCTCACCATCAACGTATGTCTCCTGGGTGCTGGCAGATGCGGTACTGCATTACTACACAGCAGCAGCTCATTGACTTTTGGCAGCAGACAGTGCAGTATGACTGGTAGCCATCTTCGCCATACTTCAGGGTGCTCTTTTAGCTGACCACGGTGAGGTCAGTCAGGGGCACCTGGGCAAACATGGGAGTGACTCAGCCAGGCCATTTCCCTTTTAAGTTTTGTCTCATGGTGATTCAGTCCTGCCAGCAGTCCTACTGCACCGTCTTCTAATGAGCAGCCAGGAGACGACGATGGCCAGCAGTCGTATTGCACCGTCTGCTGCCAGCAAGATGTATAAAGATAGATGAAGTGGAGCAAAACAAGAAATAGACCAGATTTGTTTTGTATTTATTTTCTCCTCCCTTCCTCCCTCCCTCTGTGAAATCAATGGCCTGCTAAACCCAGGGTTTTGAGCTCTATCCTTGAGGGGGCCATTCTGTTTCTCCTTGATGCAAAGCCACCCGCTTTGTCGATTTTAATTTCCTGTAAGCTAACCCTGTAAGCTATGTTGTCAGTCGCCCCTCCCTCCATCAGAGCAACGGCAGACAATCGCTTTGCGCCCTTTTCCCTGGATTGCCTGAGCAGACGCCATAGCACAGCAAGCATGGAGCCTGTACAGCTCACCACAGCAGTTATGACCATTGTAAACACCTTGCGCATTATCATGCTGTTCATGTAGAATCAGCACCTGAAAAACCAGGTGAGGAGGCGACGGCAGCGCAGTGATGAGGACATGAATGCAGATTTCTCTAAAACCGTGGTCCCCAGCAATTTGGAGATCATAGTGTTACTGGGGCAGGCTCATGCCATGGAACGCCAATTCTGGGCCCGGGAAACAAGCACAGAGTGGTAGGACCGCATAGCATTGCAGGTTTGGGATGATTCCCAGTGGCTCTGAAACTTTTGCATGCGAAAGGGCACTTTTATGGAACTTTGTGACTTGCTTTCCCCTGCCCTGAAGTGCAAGAATATCAAGATGAGAGCAGGCCTCACAGTTCACAAGCGAGTGGCAGTAGCCCTGTGGAAGCTTGCAACGCCAGACAGCTACTGGTCAGTCGGTAATCAATTTGGAGTGGGCAAATCTACTGTGGGGGGTTGCTGTAATGCAAGTAGCCAACCCAATCATTGAGCAGCTGCTATCAAAGGTAGTGACTCTGGGAAATGTGCAGGTCATAGTAGATGGCTTTGCTGCAATAGGATTCCCTAAGTGTGGTGGGGCTATAGATGGAACGCATATCCCTATCGTGGGACTGGACCACCAGGGCAGCCAGTACATAAACATAAAGGGGTACTTTTCAATGGTGCTGCAAGCACTGGTGGATCACAAGGGACATTTCACCAACAACAACGTGGGATGGCCGGGAAAGGTTCATGACGCTCGCGTCTTCAGAAACTCTGGTCTGTTTAAATGGCTGCAGGAAGGGATTTACTTCCCAGACCAGAAAATAACTGTTGGGGATGTTGAAATGCCTATAGTTATCCTTGGGGACCCAGCCTACTCCCTAATGCCCTGGCTCATGAAACCATACACAGACACCCTGGACAGTAGTAAGGAGCTGTTCAACTATAGGCTGAGCAAGTGCAGAATGGTGGTAGAGTGTGCATTTGGATGTTTAAAGGGTCGCTGGCGCAGTTTACTGACTTGCTCAGACCTCAGCAAAACCAATATTCCCATTATTATTGCTGCTTGCTGTGTGCTCCACAATCTCTGAGAGTGTAAGGGGGAGATGTTTATGGCGGGGTGGGAGGTTGATGCAAATTGCCTGGCCTCTGAATATGCACAGCCAGACACCAGGGCGGTTAGAAGAACACAGCAGGGTGCGCTGCGCATCAGAGAAGCTTTGAAAACCAGTTTCATGACTGGCCAGGGTACTGTGTGACACTTCTGTTTGTTTCTCCTTGATGAAAACCCACCCCCTTGCTTGCCTCTAAATTCCCTGTAAGCCACCTTCCCTCCCCCCTTCGATCACAACTTGCTTGCAAAGGAAATAAAGCCACTATCATTTAAAAAACATGTATTCTTTATTAATTGATTATAAAAATAGGGAGATAACTCACAAGGTATCCCGGGTGGGGTGTGGGAGGAGGGTAGGAGGGAAGGAAAAGGCCATTTTAAAACTTCTTGAATGACAGCCTTTTGTTGCTTGGCCTGTCCACTGGGGTGGAGTGGTTGGGTGCCTGGAGCCTCTTCCCCGCGTTCTTGGGCGTCTGGGTGAGGAGGCTATGGAACTTGGGGAGGAGGGAGGGCAGTTAAGCAGGGGCTGCAGCAGCAGTCTGTGATCCTGCTGCTATTCATGAACCTCCACCAGACGCCGTTTGATCCCGCAGTAGCCCCAGCGTTGCCTCATGCCTCCTCTGATCTTCCTGCTGCCACATCTCCTCACATTCATCGGCCACTTTCCTGTACTCCGCTGTTGTGTCCCTCCACACATTCTGCTGAGCTCTGTCAGTGCCGGATGACTACATGAGCTCAGAGAACATTTCATCGCGCATGCGTTTTTTTCGCCGCCTTATCTGAGATAGCCTTTGGGACGGAGGAGGGAGGCTTGAAACATTTGCAGCTGCTGGAGGAAAAAAAGGGAGTGAAGTATTTTAAAAGATACATTTTACAGAAAAATGGCTATACTCTTTCACGGTGAACAACACTATTCACATTACATAGCACATGTGATTTTGCTACAAGGTCACATTTTGCATCTTATATTGAGTGCCTGCGGCTTTGGTGTTAGAGATCACACATGCAACAGAATTTGGCTTGCAGGCGGCCATGGTAAGCCATAGTCAGCTTCTGCAACCTTCCGAACAGCAGGGCCCTCCTCTCCTATACCAAGCAAAGCACATTGAGTTGGCCATTTAGTACTGCGGTTTTCCTGTTAACGTGCAGCAGCAGAAACCAAACTGAACCCCCCCCATCCAATTCTCTGGGCTCATCACTTTACCCCTCCCTCCGCTGTGTGGCTGGTATCAGAGAAGATCCCTGCTAGCCAAACGTGAACAGCTCAGTGCTAATGCCCCCCCTTTCCCCCACCCACCACGTAGCTAACTGCGGGGAGGATTTCTTTTCAGTCACAGGCAAACAGCCCAGTAGGAATGGCCACCTCTGAATGTCCCCTTAATTAAATTCCCCTATTTCAACCAGGTTACCATGAACGATATCACTCTCCTGAGCATAACACACAGAGATAAAGAACGGATGTTGCTTGAATGCCAGCAAACACCAGGACCATACGCTGCCATGCAATGATACCAGATTACTTGCTGCTAGCATGGCATGGTAAAGTGTCCTACCATGGGGGACGGAATAAGGCTGCTCTCCCCAGAAACCTTCTGCAAAGGCTTTTAGAGTACCTCGAGGAGAGCTTCATGGAGATGTCCCTGGAGGATTTCCGCTCCGTCCCCAGACACGTTAACAGACTTTTCCAGTAGCTGTACTGGCCACGAATGCATCCCAAGTCCTCAGGGCTACTTAATCATTAAAAAACGCTTGCTTTTATAACATGTATTATATTTTAAAAGGTTCACTCACCAGAGGTCCCTTCTCCGGCTTCGTTGGGTTGGGAGGGTATTTCAGTCAGGGTGATAAAAAGATCCTGGCTGTTGGGGAGAACGGTGTGCTGTGTGCTCTCCTCAAGCTCCTCCTCCTCCTCCTCATCTTCCCTGTCCACAAAATCCTCAGGCATGGCGGAGAGTACCCCATCATCGTTGTCCAGGGACAGGGGTGGGGTAGTGGTGGCGGTCCCCCCTGGAATTGCATGCAGCTCAGCGTAGAAGCAGCATATCTGGGGCTGTGTCCCGGAGCATCCGTTTGATTCTTTTGTTTTCTGGTATGCTTGTCTGAGCTCCTTAAGTTTCATGCGACACTGTGTTGCGTCCCTGCTGTAGCCTCTTTCCCTCATGGCCTCAGAGATTTTTTGAAATGTTTTGGCATTTCGTCTTTTGGAACATAGTTCTGATAGCACAGATTCCTCTCCCCATACAATGATCAGATCCAGTACCTCCCGTTTGGTCGATGCTGGAGCTCTTTTTCGATTCTGGGACTGCATGGTCACCTGCGCTGATGAGCTCGCCTGGCCAAACAGGAAATGAGATTCAAAAGTTCCTGGGGCTTTTCCTGTACACCTAGCCAGTGCAGCTGAGTTCAGAGTGCTGTCCAGGGCGGTCACAATGGTGCACTGTGGGATAGCTCCCGGAGGCCAATACCTTCGAATTGCTTCCATACTAACCCTAATTCGAAACAGCGATGTCAATTTCAGCGCTAATCCCCTCATTGTGGAGGAGTACAGAAATTGGTTTTAAGAGCCCTTATGTCGAAAAAAATGGTTTCGTTGTGTGGATGGGTGCAGGGTTAATTCGATTTAACGCTGCTAAGTCCAACATAAACGTGTAGTGCAGACCAGGCCTGAGTGTAGCACTAATTGAGAGGTGCAAACATCTTTCCACCTATGAGAGTGCCCCCAGATGCAAACAAAGTGAACCTCGAACCAACGCTTTCTTTTCTGTCGCTGCTGACACCAATCCAAAGTCTTCGTTTAAAGCCAACCTTTCTCAATTTACCACACAGTGACAGCTCAGGCACCGTAGTTTCCCCCTCAGACTTAGAATGAAATATGTCTCAGATACCAGTGTGTGGTAACCTCTGGCAAATGACGACTTTTTGAAATGGAGACCGTGATAGAGTCCCAGAGATGCCAGTGGTAATTAAAATGCAAGTTATACTGCAGTCAGAGGGAGGGGGGATTCCTCACATGGCCAAGCTTAGCCCATTGCTTAGGGTCTCCTTTAGAACGCAAACTCATGCATTTCCTGATTATTATTGATAGTAGCCATGGTGGAATTGTAATGATGTTGAGTTAGCACTTACATAGCACTTCCTCTCATTAAACCACTTGATAAACATTGATTCACTATGGACCTTGCCCTACTACAGATGTGTGGGTGGGAGGCGAGGATACCTCTTGTGCCCTGTGCAAGGAACAGGCACAATAACAGCTCCTATGCTCCCTTTAGCATGAAGACTGACCCTCCTTCTCCTGGCCTTCAAATCCCACTAATGCCATGGGGAGCAGACTACAACCTCAAGGATGGGGGAGTGGGAGGGATTCAGGGTCTTGGTTCTCCATGGAGAAGCACAGCTTGTCACCATCCTCACACTACCCCAATTATAATGCATACAAACTGGCCTTACACCTAACTGATAACCAACACCTCCCACCCATGAGACAGATAAATAAGTACTATTATCCCTTCTTACACATGGGAGTACTGAGGGTCAGACCCTTCAGGCCTAACACAGACAAAGCAGTCAAGCTAGGTGAAGGGTGGATAAATGTATTTGCAAACTATCATGTTTGGCCATACACAAGGGCACTGTACACTTTTATTCTGAAAAACTTTATTCTAGATTAAGGATAATTAACTAAACAAGAAAGAACAAAGGTAAAGTCTCCATGCGAGAGCACTGTTTGTCTCCCCTCTTTAATGGTCTGCACTGAAATGAACACAAAATGGCAGCCACTTCTGTAAAGCAGGCTCCATAATATTTAATGTTGGAATACACAGAAAATAAAATCATAACAACCACATTGCATCAAACTAACCCTAAATCGTGATTCAGTCCAACAGTGTTTGTATTTGTTTGTTTGTCCGGGAAAATCCATGAAGCTGTAATTTGTTTCAAGGAATGATTGGGGAGGCTTTATTCATGAAAATATGGCTATTTGTGTGAAAACAAGCATATACCCATCAGAGGAGCTTGCCCTAGGACAGCTAATCAAGGAACAGAAACCCGACTGTGTGACCGACCACAGCGCTAGAACAGGGAATTGGAGGATCTCCAAGGACTTTACAATGTCCATTTATTCAGCCTTACAACATGCCTGTGAGGTAGGTAAATACATTGTTATACCTGACTTAGTGAGGAGAAGCTAAGGCACAACCACAGTGCCTTACCCAAGGTCACACAGTGACTTAGTAGAGGAGCACAGGATACAGCTCAACAATCTCAATCCTCAGCTCTCCCCAGTAGATCACACTCCTTCTCTTCCTTTAGTTCTACAGGTGTGCCCTCCCATCAATAGAGATATGGGTACCCCACTTCCTTTCAATGACAAATGTTACATCTGCTTATACTGCACAATGTAGCTATAGATAAGAGAATTTGAAGCCTGGTCCCCGTCCAGTCCAGATGCTGCTCTGTGTGACTTTATCTGCACTATTAAGTTCCATGTTACAGCACTGTATGATAGAAAATGGTGAGGGTCAATGGAACCCTGAATCTTAATATAGACACACAGGCTCTATGTGCCACCTTCAATACGCCAGCATTGGACTCAATGGTTCAAAGAGAAAATATAGTTTGCATTCATTCTGAATGCAAAACTCCTAAACGGTGTGAATCCCCAGGAATGATGGGGCTGGGTTTACACTGAGGGGAAATTGGGACAGCTGCATTTTCCCTTATTAAAGTTAGGTATGTATGTGAGGAGAAAAGGGGACAGAAAGGAGAGGATGTTCCACAGAAGCCCTGGATGGGAGCTAGGAATTGTCCCTCTATTCCCTTTGCCTTTAAACATGTTGGTCCCTCAATCTCAGACAGGCCATTTTTTGTCCAGGTTATGTACAGTATGTGCATAATATATTACACTGACATAGCATCTTTCATGTCCATGGATCCCCTAGGCACTTCACAAAATATACAAATGATAATCACTTTCACCCTGCACGGAAAGGCAGCCAGCTGAGGAGTGAAACTGTTTACCAGTGCAGAATGGGCAGAACATAGTGACTTATTTGCCTGGGATTTTAGAACTAACATTTCTAACACATCAAGGTATTGCTTTTCTTTGTTCACACTGTTGTTCTAAAAGTGTCTTCCTCTCATAACTTGTGACAATCTGATGTCATTACTGGAGTAGCACATTCACATCTTGTTGAGCGTGTACCCTGAATCACTTCAACAGGAAGATGAGAAAGCCCAAAGCATCGTTGTCTTGAGTTTGATGCAGAGAAATTGCAAACATTTCAGACTCAGAGGTTAGATTCCTAATGTTCTTTGGAGGGTGAGAGAAGCTGACTCCAAGTGGAAGTCTGTTACATTTTGTACAGCCCCCAGTAAGTCTGATTTTCTGTTGAGATGTGTCCAAGCCCATTATTGACCTTACAGAACAGCTTCTCCCCCTTGCTCAGAAAATAAGGTCTCCCGAAATTGATGGAGACAGTGTCCTCCCCAGAATTTGTCCCAGTCATCTGGTTGAGGAGAATATTCTGATCTCTGTACAGCGTCATCGTAAAATAATCTTTTATTGTCTTTATGCGGGTCACCTGGGCATAGATGAAGTACATGCCACTCTGCAGGATCTCCAGCTTTTGGTCAGAGCCATTCCTTATGAAGCTACTGCAGTCTGTCAAGTTCCACTTCCATATGATGTAACCATCACGATCTTCTGAAGGTACTTCCATAAAGAAAGGAGACAAGGAAGAAAACAAAGTGAAAAGCATACAAGGTGGTTAATTATATTTCAAAGTCTACCCCGTTTCCTAGATTTTCCCTTGTCATTCTGTAAGTTAGTTCATCTCCCTTCTTACCTTTTTCTTATCTCTTTGATTTGAGGTCTTTGGGGAGGAGAGGGAAGGGTCTGAGCTATAAAATTCAGAGCAGGACCCAGATTCTGAACAATTCCCAGAGTTCTGGGCTGTTTGGAGCTGGGATTCTGTTATTCAGACCCAGATTCAGATTCTGACACCCATGAAGTGAGGGGATTTTTAGGTTCAGGGTTTTGGTCTGAGCCCATCTTACTTAATTAAATCATTCGACTGCTCTTCATGGGGCAGACCCTCAGGCAATCTAAATCAGCATGGTCCACTGGAGTCAACCAGTGGTTAAGGTAAAGGGCAGCAGGGCGAAGCCCAGCTCTCCCTCCACTTCTAAAAGATAAGCAGTGCTCTCCAACAACTAACTCCCTCTCCTCACTGGCCACTGTCGTGAGAGCATCTTCCTGTTCCAGTCTGCATTAAACAGCAGACACAAATCCATCCCATCTCAGCAAGTAAACTTTTCACTCTAAAAAGTGACTGTGGATATGGTATTTCCTGACTCACCAGATCTGATGCCTGTGTTTGTGTTCAGAGTCATATCTGCTTTCTATGCTGAATAACAGCATTTCCCTATTGTTTAGTCCTGTTATTGCTCCAGAGCCAGCACCACTCGGGGAGACTGCTAGAGTCTATCCAGGCACTCAGACATCATCAACAGAATTGTTAATGAAGGGTTTGTCTACACAGAAAAATTCTGCTGATTTTATTATGTCTGTTTAGAAACTAATCTGGTACATTCTTAATTTGGGTTAAAAGGATTTTATATCAATTTAGTGTAAGTCAGTAAGGAACTGACAAGCTAAAACAAAGTCTTGCTCACAGATGTAACAAGTTTCATTTTCAAAATCTTTCTTGTTGCTGCTGTGGTAAGCCAAAAGGCTTTAGCTTGATTTTCAGACCCCAGGATGAGATTACAGGCCTAGCAGTTAGGACAACCCCTCCGCCGCTTTTTTAAATTAGTAACATTTGAGAATTTGATCTGCAGTCACTGAGAGACAATAAATATGGAATCCCAGGATACTATTTGTACAGTCATGTTTCAAAGCAGAACTGCACTTTAAGAGAGATGATTCATCTGATACCACTAGCTAGTGCTGGGAATAGAACTGAGAAGCGACTGACACCCGGTTGCCTACAATAGCCACTAGATCACCTGGGCGTCATGTTTCTCTGTTTTCATTATTTACTGCTGTTCATAGATAGGGGAGAAATACTCCAGCCTGTTCAGTACATTACTATGATCTACTCGCCTTCACCGCACTGTGTGAATGGTAAAAATCAGAAAACCATTCCAGGATCTTGATACTTACAAGTTGCATGAGCCCAGCAGATCTCCGGAGACTGTGAAGCGAAACAAAGTTTGGTCAGGTTTCAGAGTAGCAGCTGTGTTAGTCTGTATCCGCAAAAGAAAAGGAGTACTTGTGGCACCTTAGAGACTACCAAATTTATTTGAGCATAAGCTTTCGAGAGCTACGGCTCACTTCATCAGATGCATTCAGTGGAAAATACAGTGGGCAGATTTTAATATACACAGAGAACATGAAACAATGGGTGTTACCATACACACTGTAAAGAGAGTGATTAGGTAAGGTGAGCTATTACCAGTAGGAGAGAAAAATAACCTTTTGTAGTGATAATCAAGGTGGGTCATTTCAATTAAAGTTTGGTCAGTTTGTTGCATGTTATGGCCTGGGACTTTGACACTTAGCAGCTAATGTTCTGTGTATGTTTGGGAGAAGTCCCGGGTAGCAGAAATCTTTCTGTTATCAGAGGAGACAGACTTCTATTGGGTCTCATTCAACTGGCTCTTCACTTTCACTGGAAAGCAGCTGCTTAACCCAAATGGCATCTTGCCCTAGGACTGTTTTCATTTTAAATGTTGGTGGTGGTTTTGGTGTTGCTAAGAGTAAGAGTCTAAACGACACAGGATATCACCAGACATCACACAGCACTGGCTGGTGTCATGTAACCGTATCCCATGCTTACATAGTGTGTCTCTTTGTCACCCTCTAGTGGGTGAAGCATGTTTAGAGGTTTAGGAATCTGTTACTGCCCTCAAGGTAACAGCTCTGGACCTTTAGCTCTGGTGGTAGACACTCATATGTTTAAATGCAGAGATTCTGGGTTTAAACCACACAGATAACTCTCCAGCAACATTGTTACTCCATCTTTTCATGTGGCTTTGCCACTTTTTATTAAAAAAGACAAATTTTATTTTATCTTACATTCTGGTTTTAAGGAAAGACATAGTTAAGAAATGTTTGATTTGGTTTATTTTATTTAAAACTGCAATAGAACATTACTTTTCAAGAGCAGTGAAAGAGCTAACAGTGATGTCAAAGAATGATCACTGAAATCTGAGTTAGCCCCCTGTTAAATGCTGCATTTCACAGATATAGTTTCAGGCTGTCTGCAAATTTAGGTAGACATTGTATCAGTTGTACTCATATCAGGTTTTGAAGATTTTCTTCCCAACTATAACAGCCAGAGACTAATTTTTTTTAAATGAAAACTAAAACTCTGGAGAACCACCAAAGGGTCTGTCTGAGCATGACCCTGGTTAGTCCTTTTTACTGCCCTCCCTTGTAGGAGGGCCCCACAGCTTGGAAAACACACAATAGAGTGAAAATGTGTCTGTTTACATCCATAAGTTGGTAGTACTCCATCTGTCCTGTGGACTGGCCAGCTGTCTGATTGATTCATAGGAAATGGGAAAAGGGAAGTAACTGTCTTATTTACAAGCGTAAACAATCAACATTTTCAAATATTAGTGTAAATCTCTTATGTTAGATAGCAGTGGCCTAAAATATTTTACATTATTAAATATATTATTAATTATTAATTGTTCATGGGCTTTTGCACCAAATATAAAAATAAACCACAGACATCAGTACCCATTAGGGGAGCCAATCACCTCACTTCTTAATTGTGGCAACTGCAATTCCATTTCTTGGCCTCTCCCATACAGAAACTACCAAGAGCAACAACCCATGTGGAAAGATTTCTCCTCCTCCTCCTCAATGATTATTATCTGTTATTCCTGTTGTCATACCCTGAGCCCCCTGTCAGGACCCCCTTGGTGATAGGTGCTAAATACAAATATTAAGAAAGACAGCCACTGCCCATATAGTCTAAACATATTTTTAATGGGAATGAATTCAGACCCTGGTTACTCCTTTTTAATGCCCTCCCTTGTAGGAATGCCCCACAGCTTGGAAAACACACAGAGGAGCGAAAATGTGTCTGTTTACATCCGTAAGTTGGCAGTACTCCATCTGTCCTGTGGATGCTGGCCAGCTGTCTGACTGATCCATATGAAATGGGACTTCAAAGGTCATTGCATTTGTACATTGGCCTAGATTTGGTCCCGTATCTCCTGGCATGAATGGCTACAGTAGTTCATTGTAGACGCTGCAACACAAAGTCCTGCCAGACTTTGCTTACAGTGGAAACATGCAGTATTTTACATTGATCTAAATAAGACTAGCGGACAAACACCTGCACCATTGTGTACCTTAGTTTTAACCCACTGATCCTGACTGGAGTTCCCATAACCAGTATTCTGCTTAGGTTCTTATACCTGGCCTGTCACTGTGGTATTTCAGCACCTGCTTCTAGCAACTGGAGGAGATAACTTTGTTCAAGGGACATGATGACTGACATAGCTTTCAGCTAATACGTAGCTGAGCCTTTCCTTCCATGCTGCCAGCGAAATGCCCACCGTCCAGGGATAATTCTATTAATTGACTCAGCTGCCCAAAAGATTGGGGTGGTCAGAACACCTTAGCTCAAAACACACAGATGCCACTTTGCCCTTCTCTAGAATCTTCCATCCAAGGCCTCAAAGCCCTGTGACTAATCCTCCCACCCCCTGGCTCTCTCCATTGAAGTACAGGGTGCTAAAGTGATTCATGTGAAGTCACCAGAGCTGGCCTTATGGGTGAGCAACATGGGCAACCAATCAGGGTGCCATGGTCAAGAGGGTGCTGGTGCCCAGGCAGGGTAAGAGGTGAGCACCCGCCGGCTGGACTCCGTTCCCCAGTTGTGGGTGGTTTCGTTGGCACATGTGATGTCCCAGCTCGGTGGAGGGGGCGGGCGGGGTGGGATGGCTCCAGCCATGGGAGGGGCTGAAATTCCAGGGTATGTTGCTGTAACTTGTGGCTGGGGAGGGTCTGCCCTGGGAGTGAGCTGCAGGAGCCCCAGTGGGCCTGGGGGAGGCCTGGTGCTCTGCAGGGCAGGCTTTGCCCTTGGGGTTGGGAGATCTGCTTCCACCCGATGTCTCCTGCCATCACCCTGGGCTGCCTGGCACAGCCTGCCCACCAGCGTAGCCGCTCACCCTCCCCTAATGCCCATGAAGCAGGGGCAGATGGGGCACACCCAGGCTAGTGACGAACTCTCCTGGGGCTGCAGAGCGGTGTCCAAAGTTGGGTGGCATTGAGGAGTGGAGGCAGCGGAGCTCCCTGAGCAAGTTTCCAACAGCCAAGCTGGATGCAGGCTGGGCTTCAGTTTGTGCCTCACAGCGCTGCCATCCCCCTGGTGCTTCACACGGCCGCCAACCTGGCATTTTCACCACTGGTGCCAGAAGCTCAGGTGCTATGGGAAGCCAGCCCCGAGCGTATGGGCTGCCTGTGCCATTTGCAGCAGTCTCTTTTGTAGGTGCACATGGTCCCTACTGTGACTTACAAGCTTCTCCAGTAAACTTCAGGTGTGTGACTGGACTGTGCTTAAACTCAAAGAAAGTTTGCCCAGAGCACCATTTTCCCTAAGGCCGGCCCTAGAAGTCACACATGACATCATCAGCAGGACTAGAGTCCTGCTCTCTTGCCTCCTACTTCATTTTGAGCTCTCAGCCATGCTTTGTCCCCAGGATTGCAAGAAGGGCATTTTATTCTTTCAGCTTGTGAACGCATTTGGAGATGGGAGCAGGAGGAGTACCCCCAACTTACCCACTCCATTAAGGACCAGATTGCAAACTCTTCACTCACATTGCCTTTAATGGAAATACTCCTGTGAGTAATGGCTCGACACGGAGTAAGGGGCTCACAATCTACCCCTATATAACAAGTTTGTACCGATGTTCACTCAATGGCAAATACCAAACTAGCAAACTTGTCCTGCCCTTGCAGATGGATGGATTCAATCAGTTGGTCTTCCCCATCCCTAACTACAGTGTGAAAAAAAAAAGCTTTTGTTTATTCAGACAATGCTATTTCTGCAGTGGGAAAGAAAGGGGAAGGAAGTGGAACTCTTACAGGATGGGGTGTGCATTACTGTGCCAGTATCACGTGTGATTTACTGTCAAGCAGCATGCAATTTTGAGCTCAGTGCATGTCATGAGGCTCCCGTGTTATGCCTCCAAAATAGAATGGTGGGAAGGGGAGGAGGGAGAACTTAAAAGAAAAAAAGTTGCACCAAGATTTTTTTCCCTAAATGCTTTACAAATGGTGCTCCTGTGAGGTGCTGAGCACCCTCTAGCCCCATGGGAATTGAGGGTGTTCTGCATTTTGAAGGAGTGATCAGGACCTTCCAGGATGGATCTCCTAGTGTAACTCATGATATACACCACCAGCCACAGTCATCATATTTCCTGGAGGTGTTTGATGCTGAGTATCTAAATAGGGAACTTCTTCTTCCATTCCTGGAGCTGTAGCTGAAGACAGGCTGCAGCCCAGGTGGATGCTGGAAACATAACATCCAGAGCAAGCGTTTGGATTCTCCAAGAGGGAGTGTTCACCTTTTGGGAACGAGAGTAAAATTCCACGTACCAATGGGCTGTGCAGGGAGTGAGGGGAATCTTTAGCCTTCACCTCCCAAGCTCAGAACACTGAAGAGAAGCTAGAGATGGAGGAGGAGATCTTAGGCTACATTCAGTCCTGAGGTAAGCACATGCAACTCCATTGACTTCAGTGGAGTCACACCTGCTTGAACTGGGCCCCTTGACCTTCCCAATGCCGGGGCAGGATTGTCTGCTCAACTGCTTTGTCCAGCCTAGTTGCAAATGTTTCAAGTGACATGTTTCATGCTGTTCCACAGTGTCCGAGATCTCCCCAATGGAAAGTTTCTTCTGATAGTTAACCTATTCCATTGCTCGGTACCATCCTTTTCCTCCTAGCTATACATCTCTCTACCCTCTTCTACTGCCTTAAAAATTCCTCCCTCTCTTTGGTGTTTGAACCCTTTGGATATTGGCCGACAGTTGGCATGTGTCCCCTTAGTTGTTCTGTGGTCAAGCTACAAATACAACGACAACTACATTACATAAATGTTAGGTTAAAAGTCAAACACTGAAAAGTTAGGAAATACCAGATTTATGGTTACCTGTGCAACCTATGCATTGAACAAAATAGGGGTCCTGTGGAAAAAGTAGCAATGTGATTGTGTAATTAAAAACTATCACAACACATCCAAACAAAGGGGCTGAATTAAAGCTGCAGCCAATAGGGGCAATTTTAGAAAACGCTCAGTGCATCCTGCGAGGTGCTGAGCACGCTCTGCTCCCATGTGAGTGCAGTCATGCCTCCACAGAACTAGTACAATGCAATAGAAAATTAGTGACTTCTCTTTACATGATTAGACTCTCTGAGGGTAGAGGTATGCTGAACCAATGGACTCTTAGTCTAGCCCTTTCCTTAATAGGTATTGTCAGATAATAATAAATAATAATAATGCACAACAACAGCTGGCATAGTAGGAAAGGACAGATCAGAAGAAAACACTGACTTTATCATTTTTAAAAAACAGCAAAATTAATGAAAGTTTCCCAAAAGAAGCGCTGAAAGCACTTGGGCCGTTGAAAGCAGTCTGGAGAAAGCATTGGCTCCAAGAAGGAACAGAATTAAAGGTTGCAATTATCCAATTCTATAAAGATATCAGTCATAATAAAAATAATTAATACCAATATACTGTATACTTTAGTCGCTGGTATTTTTGCACTCTCCTTACCTGGCTATGAAGGCACAGAAAGCAGGCTATCAAAAGTGGAACCACAACCAGTATTAAAAGAGCCAGAGCTGCCAAAGTGCAAAGGTTCATCCCATTGCATCGTGAATTGTTTGCTTCCCTGGGAATATTTCCATTCTCCAGGAAATTTGACATTTCCATGCTTCTTAGCTCTCAAACTGCTAGAGAGGAGACAGCTGAAAACCAAACAGCAACAGCAACATTTAAAAAATACTGCAAGAATTCCTGACTTCTTGACACCAAGAATGAGCAGCCCTGAATGGAATTTATACACGGGGGATAAGATGGAAGAGGGAGGAGCTTATGCATTTGTTTCATCACTGTCTAGCTGCAGAAAGCAATTAGCCAGCATTTCCTCATGAAACTGATGTAGAGAACGGAACTCTCATTTGGCTCCAGGCCCAGAATGTGAAGGCGGCTTTGAAATGAAACTCAGCCAGCAAACTGCAAACAATTATGAAAAACCCCCAACATTTTCAGACAAGAGGCTGAGTTCACAGAGCTCTTCGAAAGAATAAGAGGAAGGGCAAGGTATGAAATGCACAAATCCCAGCATTTGCAATATGTTGCACAGAGTCTGATTGTTTTTCTCTTCAGAAGGATTTGTTTTCCAAGAGAGAGAGTTTTGGTAACTGGATTTAAACAGTTTCTCAATTCCAATGCTAAAAAACAGAACGGTAGTGCCGGAAGGCAGCTTTCCAATACACTAAGAGATTATGATTTGTATAGTGTGGCAGAGCTCCAACCTTGTCCCCGTGGGTCCCACACTTCCAGGCAGTTTATGCTAGCCTCAGAGGCTCACTGCAACCCTCCACATAGCCCTTCTCTCTCTAGGGCCAGGGTTACAGTCTACTGAGCCCTTTTCATTCTAAGCCAGCAAGGAGGTTGGTGAGAGAACTCCCACAGTCTCTGTTGTCCCTACGAGCTTACTCCATAATAGTTTAGCCTCCTGTCCTGACAGGGGCCTATCTTCCCCTCCCAGGAGGTGTTTCTGTAGTGGCAGGTTGGGGGGAACCCAGGACCACCCTCTACTCCGGGTTCCAGCCCAAGGACCCTAATTGCAGCAGCTGATCTTTCAGTGCCAGAGTTGCTACATTTCCCTGGGCCACTTCCCCACAGCTCTCCCACTTCTCTCTTCTTCACCCTTACCTTAGGGCTCCCTTACCAATGGCTTGAGGGTGTCTTCATTACTCAGCCCTTCAGCTGCACTTCCTCTCCCCTAGCTCTCTTCAGCCTGACTTTGGAGTGAGCCCTTTTATAGTATCCGAAGGGCCTTAATTAGAGTCAGGTGTTCACATTAACTTAATGGCCTCACCAGACTCTTTGCAGGTTCATTGGAGTCAGGTGTTCTCATTAGCCTGGAGCAGCCCCTGCTCTGGTCAGTCAGGGAATAGAAAACTGCTAATCCAGTGGCCAGTATATCTGGCTTCTACTACTCTGTTGTACCCAACTGGCCTAGGTCTATCACAATAGTAAACACGGAACTAGACGAGATTTCAAAGCAATGACAGAATATAAACCACATTTCCAAAATTGGCCACCAAAATTGCATCCAAAAAGTTTGGCAATTCACCTTTTGGAGCCACCAACCCTATATTTTCATTTGTAAACAATGACTTGTGCATGTAGTTCCCCGCTCTGCACACTGGAAAGGATCCAAAAAAGAAGAATGCAATTTAATTTCAAACAGCTTCATTGGAGCCATCTGAAAATTGTAAATTTCTTTCAGTTTGGAGAGCTTGAAATTGATCCATTTATTTTCCAAATACATTTCCATTTTTACCCATTTCCAAACATTTTAAATTTTCTAAAACAAAAATGAAAACCAAAACATTCTCCATTTCTGGTTTTTGAAAATGACAGGAAAAATATCATGTTAGTCATTTTTAAATGGGAAAAAGAAAGAAAAAAGAAAAAAACAGGAAATGGGGTGGGGAAGAAAAGAAAGAAAAAAAAAAGGAAAAAAATGAAATGCACAAAATGAAAATAATTGTTAAAATATCAACCAATAGAATACATTTTGGTTTCCAGATTTTGTGAAAATTTTGGGTTTTTTTAATAGAAGGAAATGAATTGAGACTTTTTTATTTAAAAAACCCATTTTTGACAACAAAAAAAGTCAATGATTTAAATAACTTCAACCAGCCCCATTGCACCCATTTTACCAGTGTAACAGGGACACAGAAAAATTTTATTCACACATTTTAGGAATCCACTTCTGCAATTCCACACACCCTCCCACCTCCCCACCCCCCGGCCTTTGCTACAACAGTGTGTTAGGAAATGACAGCTCCATAAAACAAAATACAACAGAATCTCTCTGGTTTGCACTGATCTGGAGATTCATTGAATATTATACAAATTTGCAAAGTAGAGCAAAAAACCCCAAAAAACAAATCAGCCAAAACAACAACCGAACAATCAAGGATGCTGCATTAAAACACACTTTGTGGGGCTATTTCTCATTTACACTAATTCTCTTTACACCACTTTGGCAGCGTAAACAGGCCTTAAAATAAGTGTAAGTGTAATTTACATTCATCTTAAGGTCCCTTTGCACTGGCAGAGAGAGTTGCCCAAACCTGGCCGAATACATTTTAAATAATTTGGAATATTACACTTTGTAACTCATGGGAACTCTCTACTTTCTATTATAAATTTGCGTTGGTGCTTACTGTGTGCTTACTAGAACTGTGTCGTTGCCACAGGAATTCAGCTCTAGATTTCAAGCACCACTCAGTTTGTAGATACTGTCTTATGGAAATGTCCTGTAGATTTTAACAAGGTTAAAAGCCATGAGAGTTCTATTGAGAAAAGGGGTCTAAAGAAATTACCACAGAATCTCCAGCTGTTTCCTAATTTTTTCATATGTAAAAAATGCTTTTTAAGAATCACCTGCCTGATTCCCATAATGAGCACTTAAGTTGATGGCATATGAACAGTCAGAGTAAATATAAATGTCTTTTACAATGTGATCCTCTCCTCATGGGATACTACAATAGATATAGTCCCACCCTGTTAATTAACAGCCATTGATGGACCACCAATTTGCAGGTGTAATGAGCAGAAGGCTGCTTAATTCCTTTCCCAGTAGAGCTAAACCTTTGGGGGATGGAAAGGAAATAGGATAGCGATGATAGACCAACAGAACAGGGGAAAGAGAGAATCTGTCATAATTATGGCAGTTCCTGCTGAGAGGAGGGACACTGATTTTCAGGGAATCAGAGAATATCAGGGTTGGAAGGGACCTCAGGAGATCATCTAGTCCAAACCCCCTGCTCAAAGCAGGCACAATCCCCAATTTTTTTTGCCCCAGATCCCTAAATGGCCCCCTCAAGGATTGAACTCACAACCCTGAGTTTAGCAGGCCAACGCTCAAACCACTGAGCTCTCCCTCCCCCAAACCACTGAGAGGGTGAAGCAGTTATGAACTAAGTGAGGCTGTTGCAAGAACATAGACTTTTTAACATAGACTTTCACTACCCAGGCTAGCGCCATTCCCCATACCTGTGGCTAGGTGAGGGGAAGAGTAAAATGGTTGGATTTACAGGTGTCTGTTTCCCCACTTTCTTAAATAAACAGCACATGGTTTAAGCTGCTTCTCTGATAGTTGCTGAGTATCATCCCAGAAGATGAGACGGGTGCTACCTTCCAAGATGGAGGACAAATCAAGCTAGGGATGTCAAGGTCACAAAGCCTTAATATGTGCCACAGACTACAGATAAGGCTTCAAACTGGGTCTGGAGGTCACCCTCTGGCCTTCCAAACATTGGGATAGAGTGACCCATTAGTCCCTCAGGTTCCAACATGCCAGCTGAGATACCCTGTTAGCAACACAAAACACTGCCAGACCTCAGATCAGCCCCTTCAGTTCTGTCTCCACACTCGTAAATTCACCTCCCTCTTAACCTACATCTGCAATTCACAAAAAAAGAACCGGGCAATCTTCATTTTGAAACAAAGCAATGCAGGGTTCATGTGAAATCACATCAGCAATGCCAATGGGCTTCTTAGGGGATTATATTGTCACATTACAGTTAAGCAGCTAATGAGAATGAATAAATATTTGCAACTTGCAAGAAAGTGTTTTATTGTTTGCTGAATTATGCATGGGGTCTGGCTATTGAAACATCAGGCACGAAGTACAGTAGAATGACATTCACAGGATATAATGTACTAAAGAACATTTACAAGGAATCTAAAGATAAGTACACTAGTCGTGCCCCACCACACACTGAAAAAACACCCCACATTGGAAGAATGGTATTAATATTGCAGTCAGGTCAGGCACTCAAAAATTAGGGAATGCCAGAATTACAGATCTGAATTAATTAAGCCCAGTGAGATATTGTAGAGGTAAATATTATTATCCCCATTTTACTGGTGGGAAAACTGAGGCAGAGACTAAGTAGTTTGTCCAAAGTCACAGGATAAGTAAGTGAAAGAGGGAGAGAGACAAGGACTGAGCTCAGGAATTCTGATTCACTGTCTCCTTCTTTAAGTCCCTAAACACATTCTCTCCCAAAATTGTTAGCATGGGTCATTTATTGTTTCTATTGACACAGTTATGTGACTGTATCATTGTGATATTGGAAGAGTTTGTAATGGTCTGTCTCTTTAAAGCCACCCTACAACTGTAAACAGACCCTAACAAGTTTGTGAGTGTGAGTCAGCAGAGCATGAATGTACAGTGTGTGGAGCAGGCTGTGGGTAGTCTGCCAAACAAATAGCACTGGACTGTTCCTCTGTGCAGATGTGTTGCTTCAAGACAGTCATAACAACAGAGAGAGTGACCACATGTGCAGGTGCCTCTGGGACAGAGTGAGCTGGTGGGATACGAATGGTGGACTGGAAGACTGCGTCGGCGGGTGGGATTGGAATGTATGGCAGGGTGTGGGCTGGGAAGAGTGGGAGGGGGTGGGGTGTGAATGTTAGGGGATTGCACATGTACTGGGGAAAGTGGGCGGGGGAATTCTGGGGGAAGTGGGGGAGTGGATGTGCATGTCGAGGAAGTAAGTGTGCTAGAGAAAGTGGAGGGAGTGGATGGAGTGGAGGCATGCTGCCAGATGAGGGTGGGGATGGAAAAAGCTGGGAAAAGCAGGTTGGGGAGGGAGGTTTTGCATGTGGGCGGGGGAGTCAGCCTGCAGAGAAGGAGTCCTGTGTGGGCTGGCCTCAAGTCAGTGCCCGATAGACACAATGACCGCACAATGGTGAGCTTGGCACTTTGTACCTCATAAAATACCTGCCATAAATATA